AGACCTCGCTCCCAATACAGTGTTAAATGCTCAACATTTAAGTGGCTCTTCTGGAGTCTTTCTGGGTTTGACATCCTTTAGGAGGCCCATAAACATGGTTTGTGGTGTGGAGGCACAAACTCAAAGCTTACTCCGAAGCTAAATCTGTCTATAGGAGTGAATTGAATCATGCCCAGGAGTGCTTCTGGCACTGCAACAAGGTAATTTACAGCAGTGAAGTGTGAGAATGCTCCTTGGCACAGCTTTGACACTTTTCAGCCATCACATTCCCCAGCACTCCCAAGCACGCTGTGGGGACCATCCCCAGTGCTGCATGCAGCCACCAGGTCCTGCAGACCAAGGTGTTCCTGTGCCAGCTGGCTTCAGAATCACAGAACTTTTCCATGCACACAGACTTAGCCTGTGAGACTCAAGAACTGCTGCAATTCTTTTCAGCTTAATTGGGCAGGTAGAGCTGCCAGTGTGGTAGGCGAGCAGAGGTACTCTTCTAAATTTCATAGAGTCATGAAGGTTGGAAAAAACCACTAAAGGTCATTGAGTCCAAGCACCACCATGCCTACTGACCGTGTCCCTGAATAGCATCATAGAATCATTAAGGTAGGAGAAGACCTCTAAGATTATCAAGTCCCACTGTCACCCAGCCCCACTGTGCCCGCTTTGGAGGATGCCAAAACATACACAGCAGTCCCAGATTCAGATATCAGCACACTGAGGCTTCTTCACGGCTCTTCAAGGTTAGGAATTACCCTCTCTGCAGAAAACTGGGGCTCCCAAGAGCCCATCTGTGGGGTTGAGGAACAACCCTCCCACGATGTCCATGACCTCATGAGTGTGGTTTGGTGACAGCGTGCCCGCTTTTTCCATTTGGTAACACAACCTCAACACTCAAGAGCCTCATCTGCTCTGCAACGCTGTACGGTTCCCACCATCTTCTGAAAGGAAAAGATTTCCATTCCAGTCTTTAAACACTCCCATGTGAGCTCCTCTGCTGTGAGGCTGTTTCTGTGCCTGTCTGGCACCAGATCAGTTCTCTTGACGCTCTTCTGGATTTGTTGTATGTATTGTACTACATGCCAGAGACACGATACATGTGATGTACATCTCCGTGAATTCCTTTAACGTTCCTCTGAATATCGAACAGCACAGCTCCAATGGCTGTTTGTTTGACAATAAAACAAAGGTTTTAATATTTAGCAGATTATTTAAGTCTCTCACCAGCTGTGACATGAACATGGTCCTGTTGTAAATTAGGATCTATGCTGGAAAAGAACTTTATTAGCTAGGACACAACAATTTTAGCAGTGGGAGAGAATAGTGTGATGGGTTATGTGGCTTAATACTCCATTACTGAAATAATCTCTTTATACAGTATTTTTTCTTTCAGGATGTGATCAGGACTGGCCCAACTCATTTGAAGGAGTCCCTCAGTGCCATATTTCCACATTTCTTGAATACCTCCAGCAAGTGAGCCCACCACCTCCCTATGCAGCCTGTTCCAGTTCCAGACTACCCTTTTGAAGAAGGAATTGTTCCTAACATCCATCCTGTCCATGCTTAGCTGGGCACGTTCAGCCCTTGGAATGCATGGTGAAGTTGCTATCCCTGGAGGTGTTCAAGAAATGTGGAGATCATAGAATCATAGAATCACCAAGGTTGGAAAAGACCTAAAAGCTCATCCAGTCCAACTGTTCACCTATTCCCAATAGCTCCCACTAAACCATGTCCCTCAACACAACATCCAGCCTTTCCTTGAACACCCCCAGGGTCGGTGACTCCACCACCTCCCTGGGCAGCCCATTCCAGTGCCCAGGATGTGTCCAGATGTTCCAGTGTCCAGAGATGTGGCCCTTAAGGACATGCATGGTTTGTGGACACGGTAGGCATGGGTTGGACTTGGTGATCTGAGAGGTGTTCTTCAACTTGAATGACTCCATGACTCTGCGTTGTCTTTACAATGAACATTATGGCATTTTCTTCAGGAAGTCTTTTTTTGCTGGTCATGAAACTTGCTTGAATACAGCCAGGAAAACTGATCCTCTTTGACTCGTCCCCTGTAACTGTTCTTAGCAATACTGCAAAGATGGGATATAATTTGCTGCTCTAGCAGAAAAGGGAAATCAGAAATTCCTGAAGCGGATGCTAATGCTACTGCTTTTGATGTGAGGCCAGTCCTGAATCAGAGACTGCTCAATTGATTTGCCTCTTACTTACCTTAATCCTTCATGTAAATGGATGTTGTCACCACATAATCGATCCATCTCATCAGAGGGTGAGAGGATCATCCCTTCAGATCACTGAGGCCTTCTCTTCCATGGCTCCCAGGCAGTGTTCCACATTTCTTCCCATCTGTGGTTCAGCTGTTTCTGGACTAGACTGTAGCCCTTTGTGAAGTACCAACCAGACCAGGCTTTTCTTCCATGCCTGATGGGCAGGGGAAGGGCTGGCTGAGCACGTGTTAGACTGGGACCCTTTTAAAGATACTCCTACAGAGGGAAGATGCAACTCTACAATCACTACAACTGGCAGAGGTTGTAAAGGGCAGTGTGACGCTTGATAATATTTTTAACATGCTTCAGTTGACTTTAAGCCAAACTGTCACAAACAGTTCAGGTGCATTTGCTATGGAGAAAATGCATGACATGAAGTCCCGAAGACATCTGGAAGTGGGGGTATGGTTCAATGAATCCTTCTGGACTTCAAACTGGAGATGTTCCATTCATGCCTTTCTGGAACAGCACTGACACCAATTCACAGTGTGATGTGTAGAGCTGCTAGTGGTGACACAAGTCCAGCTGGAAGACACCCACTGGGGATGTGCCTCAAGGGTTGACACTGGAGCCACAACTATTTAGGATCTTCAGTAATGATTTAGATGAAAGGAGAGCACTCACCCCCAATGAGTGCAAAACTGTGAGAGCAGCAGATACACCAGATGGTTGGAGTGCCATTAGAGGGACCTTGGCAGACCTCACCAAACTGGTTGGTGTCCCATCCCTGGAGACAGCCAAGGTGAGGCTGAATGGGGATCTGAGAGCCTGATCCAGCTGTAGGTGCCCCTGCTCACTGCAGGGAGTTGGACTAGATGGCCTTTAAAGGTCCTTCCAACTCAAACAATCCCGAATCTTTCTCAGTGCCATACCCCCTAGAGGATGAAGGAAAGGCTGTGGGTATTATCTGCCTAGATTTTAGTACAGCCTTTGTCTCTGTCTCCCATGGTATTCCCCTGAAGAAGTTGGCAGATGGGAGTCACCGTCCCTGGAGGTGTTCCAGAGCCACAGAGATGTCAGAGAGGTCAGTGGGCATAATGAGATGGGCTGGGGTTGGTGATGTCAGAGGACTTTTCCAACCTGAAAGATCCTATGATTCTATCCAGCGAAAGGGCCAGATGCGCTTTTATAGTTAGGAGAACAATTTTGGTCTATTTCAGCCTACATAAACATAAGGATGTAAATTTTCCACTCCTACCGATTAGCAGCGTGCCCTTTGGCTGGCCAAAATCTGCTTTCCTGAGTTTCAGATCCTTTTTGGCTCATTCGTCATCAATTCCAACAGAACGGGACTGGCAGCCTAACAATGTACTGACATTATTTTAGCACTCAGTTTTGGCTCTCTTATCCTCTTACTAACACACTGCTCCAGGGATTGAGAGGAAGTAAAATTGGGCAAGTTATTCACTTGATCTCCTATTTACCCTATTTTTCTATATTCAGAATCAGGATGAACATCATAGCGGAGGAAAAACAAGATAATAACATGCAGCACTTCCACGTAGAGCATTATTCCTAGCAAAGACGGTGGGTAAGAAAATGACATACAGTGACAGCATGACAGTACAAAATAGGAGGACAAGGACTGAGGCATGTTGGCTCTTTCCTTTCTCCAGGAAATTCCTTAAGATTGGTGCCATGTGCTGCAATCTGTCCCCTTCCCTAAGCCAAAGGATTTCTGCAAGGTGCCTTGGCAGACCCAGGGATAAATCTTTACTGGAAGGATCACCTAAAGACAAACTGATCTCCAACAGGAGATGCACACTTACCTCAATCTTATTTTTAAGTTGATGGCAGAATTATAATAAAAAGCCACCCCAAAATTACCCAAAGTGAATTTCAGCACATGTAGCTTTGAAGCATTTTCAGCAATCAAAAATACGAAGAAATATAGATTTAATTACCAAAAAAAAAAAAAAAAATTCACAACAATTTCCAATTAATGTATCTGATAAGATGTAAAAGAAACCCCAACAATCAGAAACACGGGACTGATCGCCATTAATGCTCTGCGTACAAGGAAAAACATGCTCAAAAATGCTGGAAATTTGTTCTGCTGGAGGGAGACGCTGAACATCTGGCTGTTCCTGAGAAAAGCAAAAGGGCTCCCTCTGGAGTGGATTCCGAAATCAACACAGTACTCAGATTTTAATAGGTGGGCAGCAGAAATGAAAATCAGTAACAAAGCAAACGCGTTCTTGCCTCTTGTTGGTTTGCTCATCCTGCGTACAGTGAGCACAGCGGGCTAATTCAAGCAGACTATACCATGATTGAGAGATATGGATCCATGCCTAGAATATTAAGTCATTAATTAGTTTTCATGCATGGGCTTGTATGTGGCAAAGAGGCAAATTAAGGATACCTGAAGAGACAAGAAAGCTTTCCTAGCGAGGAAAACACTCCCAGGAGTTGCCAAGAAAACACATTACAAAGCCAGCTGAGAATCCGAATTTTCAACCCTGGATGGTCATGCACAATTGTATGAAAACCCAACATGGCCACCGCTTGCGTGCTCACAGCAATCAACTTCATTTGAAAGGGAGAGAGGAAAAGCTTTATGGATGTACACAAAACCATGCTCTGCTGAATAATCACGGGGGTTGCTTTCAAACTCACCCGTGACGAAGACCCTCCCATTCCCATGGCTTATTTGCATACAAGCCAGTGAACAGAAATTTGTACTTTCATGCAGAAAGAAGAAAAAAGATCACCTACAAAGTGAAGTCAACTTACTGCCTGTTTTTGCTCTTCTTCCTATAATGGTTGGCAAAAGATAAGGGTGAAGAAAGAAACAGGATAGATTAATTACCATGTTACAAGGGAACACGCATACACATAATATACAACAGATCCAATGAAGGAGGAGAACGTGGCAAACTGTAGGAACATCTGCAGTCACAAACAGAAACAATCAAGTTGGGTTAAGAGCTACATAGGAATGTAAAGGTGTAATCTGTCCCATTTTAAAAGATTACTTTTGTCCAAATGGCCATCGGTGTTTGGGAACGTTGGAAACATGGAATGCATATCACTGTGGGCTAGGACTCTCTTCCTGTCCTAGACTCAGAAACGACTCTCCAGATGTCTTCAAGACAACCTTGCTTTCAGACTGAAAAGCTTGCCAATGCCACTTGAGGTGTGCAATCAATGCACTGCTTCTGGTTCCCTGCCATCACGAAGACTGAAAATGTCATAACCTGAGAGGCAAAGTATCACCTTTCTGATCATGGAGTGAGCACTGGGCCTGTAGTGAGCTCTGCAGATTGGGTTTCAAAAGGGCAAATTTATGCAAGGTGGGCTCTTTGGGTTTTTGAACTAAATCATACCTACAATGGGAGAAGAGAAACTGGGAGGCACTAGAGTCAAAGATATAAAGTAGATACAAAGATGGAGAGAATGATATTGCTGTTGCAATTCAGCTTTGATCAGTACAGAGCACGTTAATTTGAAAGACCAAAAATGGTGAAATATGGATGAATTTATGCTCTTTTGAATCAGAGCAATGCATGCTATGACCCTTCTGAGCCAGTGGGATCACTCTCCAACATCAACCATACAAGCCTTTCTCGTGCCACTGTGCAAAATCATAGCAATCACTGAAATATCACATAGTCAAGAGTTACTTTCTAAGTCAAATGCTTTCACACATTTTGTCCTTGCCTATATAAGAATGGGCTTCATAACAGTGGGTACACTGTGTTTGTTGCATGAGTTTGCTTCCACGGAGGAAGGCAGCAGCTGTGGTGGGGCAGCAACAGCGTGCATTAGAAGGAAAGGTTGGCAGTGGGTTCTTTTTTGTTTGTTTGTTTGTTCGTGCAGAATCAGCATTTCCAGCTTTTTTTGAAGATAACAGCATGCATTCTCCCCAGTGGTGGCTTTGCACGAAGTGCAGAGAGCAGCAGGACTGCTCCCCAGTGCATCTCTCCAGAAAGCAGTTCATGCAATTAAAATGAATGGAATAGAAGTTGCTTCTGACCTTGAAAGGCTGGGATTCCTGTATCCCCCTTCTCTCATTTATGCCCTGACCACCCAGAGCCTGACCTCAAATTCAGTTTGGGTTCTTCTCACCAACCACTACCCCAAAAGATAGTGATGTGTTCCTGAGGGCACTGCAGAGATGTCTGGTAATGTACAGCCACATAATCCCTCATTTCTGAGTGGATACTTTTGTTTTTTCTCCCAAGGTTTGGGATTCAGGTGCACATTTAAGTACTGATGCAGCAGAACTTGGTGCCCGTGAGCCATGAGCCCCACCAGCTGCTGGTGCCCTTCCCTGGCTCCCATGTTTCCAGTTGTTCCTTCTCCCAGCGCAAGGACTCACAGGACCAGATGGTGAGCCAGGACAGGGAAAAGATCTTAAACAACCTCCACTCTACAAAATAAAAAAGTTGTTAGTTTGAAAAATGAGGCTTTAGCATTAACTACAGATGTGGGGAAAAAAAAAAAAAGCCACACAAAAAAACTTCTCAAGAAGTTGCAGTGCTCTGCAAGAAGAACCAAGCATTTGTAAGATAAATCATCAAATCAGCCAGTGAGGAAATTACCATTGAGGAAATAGAAAATAGTGAAATGGGATCTGTCTGCTGAACATCCTCCTAGCTTAAGGCAAAAACCCTGCAAGAAGGCAGACAATCATCACTACTGACTGCTTATTACAAGAATGCAGGCTAATGGCACTAGGTGATTACGTGAGACTTCAGGATAAAAATGGACAGCTAAGCCAATAGCCTGGATGAGGAAAAGAAGAGAAAAATGATTTGAACAGGGCAGCTGAGGGCACTGCGGGCAGATGAGAGGCAGGCAGGCTGCTGAAGAGATGGACTCGATGATCCTTATGGGTCCCTTTCAATTTGGGGTAGAATCACAGAATCACGGATTCACAGAATCACTGAGGTTAGAAAAAACCTCCAAGATCACCAAGCCCAATCCCAACCCATTCCCACCATGCTCACTGACCATGTCCCTCCGTGCCACATCCACCCTTTTCTTGAACACCTCCCTTGGCAGCTTGCTCCAATGCCTGAATGTTCTTTGGGATAAGGAATTTTTCCTAATACCCCACTTGGATACTCTATGAATCTATGAAACTGGTGCTGGTTGACATCTGGATGGAGCTTGGTGGTCATCTGGTGATGAGTGTCAATTTGAGGAACACAACCTTGCCCTAAGGAACTCACAGTGCGCTTCAAGATGCATTGGACAGCATACAGCAAAATACCACTGCCAGCATTTAGAGAAGAGCTGAGTGCAACCAGAGCACGTACTGGACAAACCTCCAATACATCCCCACCATGGTGGAATCAAGTCCTTCCGATGATGCCAAGTCACTGTCTGTTCTTCTGTAGGCAGAAGAACAAGGAGAGATGTGGAGCTCTGTGTGAAGAGCAACCTGAAGCGCAGGCTGTAGCAGTGTGGGAAGATGGATTTCAGGTTGGATATTAGGAAATATTTCATCTCATAAAGAGCAGTGCTGCAGTGGCACAGCTGCCCAGCGAGGTGGTGGGGTCACCAAACCTGGAGGTGTTCAATGTGAAGAATGTGGAGATGTGGCACTGAGAGATGTGGGCAGGGGGCATGGTGGGGTGGGTTAGCAGCTGGCCCATTCTGAGCATTACATTGAGTCAATTTTCAGTGTATAGAGGTGATAAATGAGAATGAACAAAATGGCAGAGAGAAAAAAAAATCAGAAAAAGCATAAAGGAATTCTGTGACAAATAATGCTGGAGAAATCATCAGGGCAGAGTGAAAACTCCTCCTTTTCATTGTAACTAACAGCACCCAGTGAAAACAAAGATGCCCAATATCAGTTAATCACCTTGTCTCCTCTGTATTTAATGGAAAAAAACAGATGAACCCACAGAGAACAACAATGCCTTTCCTCCCTTCCCTTTTACAGAGGGAGCTGGGATACCAGACATTCAAATAACCAAAGTTAAGATCAATCCAACTCTAAATGGTGAACTGAAGGCAGCATTAAAAATGCAGAAAATACTGTATAAGAAAATGGAAAAAACATAAAAGCTTAACAGCTGATCTAAATTATAAATGAAAACTTTTAAGTGCGCCAAATGACAAGAGAAGATAAAACTTGAACTAAAAATTCATGTCTGACAGGGCTAAAACCACCAAAAAGGAGACTTTGAAATGAACACATACCAGAGGTGGTGTGCACTGCTTCTTGATAGCAAAGATGGTAACATTTTTAGTATAGGAGCAGGAATTACTGTTTCTTCTCTGTGTTTGAGTAACAGGAGCATAAAGTGCCTCCCCCTGGGAGTCAGAGAAATGCTTTCCACCAATACTGAGAAAAGGTGTTAAAGAGGATCTGCTGGTGTTTTTAGATCAACAAGGCTGTAATTACATGAGTGGTTATCTTGTCCAGCCAAGGTAATCTTTAACAGACTCCAGAATACCAAGGATTGGGATGCGCTGTTGTACTGATACTCAAAAAGGAAGACAAGACAACTCATTAAGTGCAAACATCTTGCCTCGTCATTAATTCACTGAGGTGCTGATACAAGGCTCGAGTCATAAGCAACACATGAAGCTTCATGGCTTCACAGAAAATAGGTCTTGCCAAATAAAATCTGATTTTGTTGTTTGGATCGCGTTACAAGTTTGACTTCTAAAGGAGCTGCACAGATGCAATGCATCTCACCATGAGGGAACTTACTGGTGACACCCCATTAACCAGGTAGCACTGCTCACAACAAACAAGGCACATCAAGTGCAGCGAGAATGGCACAACTACAGATTTCAGAGAAAAGACTGAAAAGGGCCACCAGTGACACATCTGCAAAGGGAAAAACCAGGGACACCAAGAACTCCTTCATTTAATGGAGGGAGAACCCTATGGAATCATGGAATCATTAAGGTTGGAAAAGACCTCTAAGATCATCAAGTCCCGCCGTAACGCAACACGTAAAACCAAGTAATGACAAAATGGATACAGGCTCTTGGGGTAACTCAGGTTGGAGGGGACCTCAGGAGGTCTCCAGTCCAATCTCCTCCCAGGACAGAATCAACTTCATCCCAGGCAGGTTGCTCAGGGCCCTGTCCAGTTGGGTTTCAGAAACCTCCAAGCATGGAGCTGGCACAGCCCCTCAGGGTTCCCCAGCACCCTCCTGGGGAAGCTCTTCCTCATCCCTGTCCCATTTCTCCCATTGCATACTGTATCTCTTAGATCAAAAACACTTTGAGTGAGGACAGTGTTTTCCCATTCGTCTTATAGAATGAGACCCGTGTCCAGTTTGAAGAATGCAAAGAAGAAACGCACAACAATATTTCAGAGTCTGGTGATGAACTGTGAGCTTAGCTCTGGCAGTAGGCTCTGAAAAGAATAATCAGAAATCCAAAGAATAATGTATGCTGTAGATTAGAACACCACCGAGTGATGAAACAGAGAGATCCAACCAACACTGGGTTGGTGCACTACTGCTTTGTGAAACACACTGCCATGCTTTGCCAAGAGGAGCTGCTATACAGCTGCTCTGCATATAATGTATTTTCCAATTACGCTCAGGAGAATGGAAACGTCACCCACAACACCGTGCAGATTGTTAGCAAATCTAACACTTCTCCAAAACCTTCCAATGCTCTTGGCATTTTAACCCCCAAAGCAGCATATGAATCTGAAATATCACTGACCATCTGCACCCATGTGCGGAGCCCACAACGAAACGACTTTTTGCAAACTCCTTCTATTCCTGATAAAGGTTTTATAAAGGTAAGACAGCAGTGCAGGAGTGTCAGAACAGGGAACCCCAGACTGTGGAGAGGATGCACTGCATTTCCGACTCCCAGTGCCTTACTTTGAGTAGCTTCATCAGCCCTTCGAGCTGCACCATCAGCTCCCTTCTGCTTTCCTGAAGCGCAGACATCCTCTGTTCCAGCTCATCCTTTCTCTGCCTGTTCAGGTGATGGGAGAGAATTCAGAAAAGAAACTCTGAGTATTTAGAAATTCACGAAATTCACAGATATAATCTCTTCTTTTTGTCACTCCCTCCTGCTTTCAATTCATAAACATACAGCAAAACACCGTACAACAGCCACAAATCCTATCCATAACAGTCTCTCCACTTATACTCTACAAATCTACAGTTAGCATCTCGGTAGTAGGAAGCCTTTCTATTTATTTTGTGTTTGCACATTTGGATTTTGTGTTGAGGGACATGGTTTAGTGAGTACTATTGGTGATAGGTGGATGGTTGGACCATCTTGAAGGTCTTTTCCAACCTTGGTGATTCTGCGATATTTTTTTCTTTTCAGAGGGCTGTATTTTGAGAAAAAAAGCCAACTTCCTTTTCAGAACACTGCGCACATCAGAGCCAGGCGTCCTGCAGAGCCTTCAGAATGAGCTATGGGAGGAAAGAAAGAAAGGGAAAGAGCACAGAAGAGCAGAAAAGGCTGCAGATGTTTGGATCTATCACCTCTCTGGATGGAGGCTCGGCAGAGCTATTTCTGCCCAGCAGTGTCACATGCAGAGCCCAAAACCCATGGAGAAGAATAGGAGGCAATAAGTGTCTTTCCCTTTCCTTGGCATCAAAAAACCGCTGCACTTCTGCAGATGCCTATCTGGGGGAGATGTAAGGAAACGTGGCCATATGGTTCTGCTTTATACGTAAAAAAATAGTGGCTAATATAAAGGGAAATTCAAAGACAAACTGTCAACACGTGTCAGAAGTTCATTCTCTGATACGATTTAAGAAATGCCGGACCCCACAAATCACAGCCATAGGTATTAATAAATAACAGTAAGGAGAAACAGATGGGCACGGCTTCTCCATTCACTCACGGTTATTTTTGTGAATACCACAACGTCTCACTCCAGAGTTAAAGGCACCACGAAGTGCAGACCGAATTTCTGGATGGTGTCTGTGTTCTTCCACAGTGTGCAGTGGATACAGCATTCTGGGAATTCCAATAAACCAATCGGACATCAGAATCTGGAACTCAGACTGCATCAATCCAGTGAGTGCAGCAAGCTTTTGTTATGGTGGCTGTGTCATACAGCAAGCACTCACCCCAGCCAGAAAACTTTTCAGGTCACCTTATAGAATTCTTTCTATACTGGTTCTTAAAAATACAGAAAACTATGAAGTATTTGCTATTTTAAGCATTTTTAAAATGTATATTTTGGAGAATGTGGTTACTAAGTGCCCACACCTGTCACAAAAAGAAGGCAATAAGGACATGGCAGAATACCCCAAGTTGGAGGGGCCCCATAAGGATCATCGAGTCCAACTGTGCTGTGATGGTACATGCATCGTCACCTGGACTATGAGCACCTGATGGAGCTGTGGGTGTCCCTGTTCTCTGCAGGAGAGTGGGTGCAAAGGGCCTTTGAAGGTCCTTTCCAACTCAAGCCATTCTATGACTCCACAAATACTGTAAAAATCAACATATTGAATATGTACGGCTCTCTCAATGCAGCTGTTAATTAAGAATCAACACTGATGTGTCCATCTGACTTCAGCTGACATTATCTGTTTTCTTTTTCGATGGCTTTTGGTGAAGAAAGAAGAGGAACTGCTTATCAATGACAAAAGACGTTCAGTGATATAAAACAAAAATGACAGCCCCCAGGGACATAAATGGAGAGATGCAGTCTGAGGCTCATGCCTGGAACAAACTGGTCATGGCACCTGTGTATAAATCAGCATCCTGAGCACTCGTAAGCAGAAGAAACAAAGAACATCAGGGCACTCATCCAAGGTTACATTTGCCAACAATGTGGTAGAGCTGACTCATGCCTACGGGCTGTGCTGTCTGCAGATTCTTCAACCTGGGACAAGTTGATTTTCCACTGATTAACGTTTTTGTGCTTTTGTAGCCTAAATTCTACACAGCAATTGAGATAATTTGGTAACGCGTGCTTCAATGAAATCAGGGGCAAGGTCAGCCCAGAAAAGGAGACATAAGGTTTGGAAACAGCACTGGGCATGGGAAGGTCAGAAATAACACACAGACTTTTAGTCCTCTGAGCACAGACAGAGCACAGACACCAACTAGAAATCACATTAAGGTATCAAGGGAAATAGTATCTCCTTCATCTCTAAAAGGGTAAATATGGCACAGAAGGACGTGGCCAGTGGGCATGGTGGGAAGGATTGGGGTTGGACTTGGTGATCTTAGAGGCTTTTTCCCACATTAATGATTCTATTATTCTAAAATAAAAACTTGAGTGTCTGACATGGATGATTCAGCCATCAGGGAGGGCCTGGCAGGAGCACAACAGGGAAAAAATTCTTACGCCATGTGATGCAGAAGGCCAGACTGAAAATCACGATGGCTCTTGGCCGTTTGTGTACGCAGTTTTCTGTGCAGTCACCCTTCTGTCCTTCAGTGTATCTCCTACGTGACGACTGCGTTCACGAACTTGAAAGCCAGAAGTGGCTGCAATGACCATTCAGGTTTTTCTGCTAACAAAATACAGCTCAAATTCCTCCCAGTTAGCTTTATTTTTGAAGAACACCTACAGAAAAACTCACTGCTCTTGTGATTATTGCCTCACTTCAGAAAACACGTGCTTTTATTGTGGTCTGAATGTGCCTTGTTTCCTGTTTAAGCTCTTGGTTCTTATTGCATCTTTCTCTGCTGGAGCAAACACACACCAAGCTGCCTCACAACATCCCTTTCTGCAGCTCTTGCTTAATGTCTGTTGACATCTTCTGCATCCTCTCCAGTTCTTAAGCATTTAAAAAATATGTACATACCTACACGAAGCACATGAAGCTGAAAAATATCTGTGCTGCTGTCATTAGGTAAGAGGATGAAAACATCAGCAAGATGTGAGATATCAGCAAGATATGAGATATGGAAAGTACTAAAATAGAGCAGGATCTGTATGAAAAACTAACAAAAGAAGCTGAAATATTCATGTTTGCCAGCAAAGGACTAGAGCATACCATGCAGAAACTGACTTGCAGGCTCCATTCCAAAAGCGTTACACTTTATGGAAAACCTACAATTGTGCCACTTCATAAATGGACAGAAAAAAAACCCCAAAACCAGCAAATGGAATACAGTGTAGTTTTCAAAGAGCTGTTGCTGCCAAGAGCTTGGATTTTAGAACCTACTTTAGATTACGAACACAATTTTTGAAGGTTCGGCTCTGAATTAACTTGTAGCAGAAGATGAAATAAAATACAGCTAGAGAACACCCTTGTGACTACCCAAACTATGAAACACTTTATTCTATAAATACCGTCAATTTCTCCCTGTCACTTGAAAATGTGAACTTAAAGAAGCTTAGAAGATTGTTCACCAACTGTGGGTGTATGTCTGAATATTTGTAGGCAGGAACTTTCAGAGTTTCACTGATTAATCTCACATTCATCTTCAACTCGACCCTTTTGAGCAGCACATAATAAGCAGTTAATACCATTTTTCTTCTCAGTTATTCTTCTTTGTAAACAGTTTTCTGAACTGTACAAAGAGAACTTGTGTTCAGAGACATTTCCATTTCCTTATAAATCCATTTCTAAAAGGGAAAATCGCAATACGCTGTCACTCTTTGGAACACAGCAGCTCAAAGCAAAGCTCTGAGGTTACCAAAATCATGCTGATATTATGGAATCACAGAATCATCCAGGTCGGAAAAGACCTCCAAGATCCCCAAGCCCAAGCCCAACCCACCCCCACGCTGCCCACTGCCCACGTCCCTCAGTGCCACATCCCCACATCTCCTGAATGCTTGTGCTGACGATGACTCCACCACCTGCCTTCTGACGTCCTGATATGAGTCAGCAATCTGTGCCACCACCTGTGCCCACAGAGCAGACCAGTCAGCCAAGTGCACACCACCCTGCAGCCATTTCTATTACCGCAGGAGCCGAAGCTCAGCCAGTAGCGTTGGGTTCTGCTGGGCTTTCTCCGGCGTGGGCTGTGAGGCTTGCTCGTGCTCCAGTCTCAGACGCTGGATTTCCTGCAGTATCTCTCTAGACAAATGAAAAGGGAAGATTACAGGGGAAGAGTGACCCTCTACACAGCTCTTAAAACACTGCTATAGCCCTTCAAGCACTCTTGCCATCACTCTTCAGTCTAAGCACAGCAATTTTGTTCATGTATGACTGGCACAGATCTGAATCCAGGACAGGTACATTAGAACGGTCTTATGAATTGCTGTAATGCACGTTGAAAATTTACTACTTAAGTTATAAGAAGTAGGAAATTGCTTGTGTGCTCTACGCTGGCAATGACTCTTCAAAACCCTTCAAGTTGAATGGCTGTAAGAGGCAGCCAAGCTGCTCTCCTTACACAGCACCTTAACATCACTGATTGAGATCTCCCTTATCGGGGATCTTGGTGAATAATTTCAAATACCTGCAGGCTCTCTTGAAAGTACAGCATTTGCTTCTTACCAACCCTCCAGGACCAGGACTCCTCTAAATGAACCCTATTACATTCACTGCCAGCTCCCAAGACTGTGGACAGGGTCGTCTGATCACAGCTATGAGGCCAACATGGCACTGGGACCCAACACAGTCTGCAGCTGCTGAGCAGCTTGCTTTTTAGAACAGTACCCTTTTGATTTCTCTCAGGCAGAGAAACATGAACCCAAAATAGGGGTGCTGAAGAAGCAAGGAAGAGCAAATGCAGTATTACAGCAAAAATAGGGTTATCTCTTCTTAATGATCCTTCTGGAACAAGAGGAGGAAACCACCTATGGCCCATCTCCTCTTTTTCCAGGCCTCCTAGTTTTCTCAGATCATGGAGTCATTCAGGTTGGAAAAGACCTCTCAGATCCCCAAGTCCAACTCCAACCCACCCCACCATGCCCACTGCCCACGTCCCTCAGTGCCACATGTCCACATCTCAAACACACGGACGGTGACTACACCACTTCCCTGGGCAGCCTGTCCTGGATTCTCCTGTCTTCCAGGGAAAACAAAATACATAAAACAAATCCTCATTCCTCTCAAGTTATATGCATCCACCCTACCTGCTCCACCACTGGAGCATAACCTGGTTGGTTATCCTGCTGCCACATCAAGTTATCCAGCCATGGGGTTTGCTGGGCTGGAGTGCAGCAATACAGAGCTTCTGGTAATCAGTACTGATGAGTTTAAGGGGATTATTTAAGATCAGTTCAGAAGAACAACTTGCTTCCCAGGGAATAAAGGCACTGCAGCTGCATCAGCATTGAGCTCACTGGTTAATGAGGCAGCTGCGCCTTCCAACAAAAGATGTAGGAAAACAATCTGGTTGATAAAATACAAAAGGTTAAACACTACAAAGCAAAAACCCAAATGCTGTTTCTAAAACACCACCAATCAAAGCTTGGTTTTTACCTGTTTTTGTTTTCCAGCTCTGCTATCAGCTGTCTTTGCTGTTTGTTGGCATCGAAGTTGAAACCCAGGTCTGTGGGTGGGCGAGGCTGGTGGATGGAGAACAAAGGCAAATCAGCCACAGCACTCGTTACCTGCTAACCACATATGACACTGTTTGGATCCAGTCCCATATTTCCTGACTGACACGGTGCAATACCAACAGCCCTGATGCAAAGCTATGCTGGGAAGGAACATTTGACCATGGTGCTTTTGGTGCTTTCCTCAGGTTCCACTTCTCCCCTTCTTCCAATTCATCATCTCAGAGGTGATACTGGGGTTAAATTAAGTCTTTCAGTGCCTTTATCTTTAGTGATTCTCTAGCTTCACTGTCTCTGTATGCTCAGCACACTTTTCACCAGCAGCTATCACCACCACTGAGAAAAGTACTGGGCATTTAAAGAGGAATCTGTGGTTTCTGGGAGAACCTACTGGCAGATGGGCTGTGAGATGAAGAAGCCAGATGCTTTGAATCCCAGAATCATTCAAGTTGGAAAAGACCTCTGAGAACACCAAATTCAACCCTACCCCATCCCCACCATGCCCACTGACCCCTGCCCCTCAGTGCCACATCCCTATGGTTCTTGAACACCTGCTTAGGTGGTCTCATATGACTCAAAGCTGTCCTGGTCATCACACACAAAAGATTCTCATTGGGAGAACTTGGAGATGGCTTCCATCACTGTAAATATACAGCAGATGGACGGAAGAGATGGGTATCAACCTCTGCTCCTGGGGAATGAATGGGAGGAGAGTGATTGAACCAGGACAAAAGGGAGAGACACTCCTCAAACAGTTTCAAAGCTGATGCCCATGGTCTCTTCATCTCCTCCTGCCATCAAGACAAGCATAGGTCTGCTCCATTTGCAGCCTCTTGGCCTTCCCCTGAAGCACTTGGCTCTGCTGCAAACTAGGAGGCTGCCTATAATCAAACAATTCCATCCTCAACCTCTTTCTTCAGGAATCCTGTACGAAGCCTGAAATCATCCTGATGACCTGAAGTGCTCAAGTCCTCAGGAGAAAAGTCAGCACTGCGGAGGAACTAAGCCCATGCTGCTCGCTTCATCATTGGATGTTGAAAAGTCATTTGGAAACCTCACAGTGGATATTCTGCTTTCCTGTTTTCCTCAATGCTTTCCTAGGGTCAATTCAAAGTTTAAAGGTAACTCCAAAGTGCAGAGCTGTTGAGATTCAAAAGGACCTTCTGAGAGGGAATCATAGATTCATAGAATTGTTAAAGTTGGAAGAGAACTCTAAGATCATCAAACCCAACCCTTAACTTGTTACCATTCCCACTAAATCTAAGTATCCCACTCGCTAGTTTTATGTTTTTATTGCTGAGACAGTTAATGTAGAGTTTGCAAGAATAAATCATGTTAAAGTTACTTTCCTTACACCGTGACAATCAAATCCTATCTATAGGAGAGAAACCATTAACATCCTGCACTCTCACTTCAATGCTGCTGACATTCCCTTTACTCTTGAATTCAGTACAGCGGTTGCTTCAGATCTGCAGACTGTACCTCACTGTGACAAGCAGACAGTACTCTTGAGGACAAGACTAAAATACCAAATTATGTGAGAAATTCTAGAAATGGTTGGAAAAAAACAGGCTGCATTCTATTAAGTAGAGAGCAACTGCTCGTATTTACTTTAATCATGTCAACTGCATTGACACCTGAAGGCAGCAGTTTTGCAAAAAAAGGACCTGCAAATACGAGTGGTTTGCAAACCAGACAGAGTCAGTAATGTCACATTTTTGCAGAGCCACAGAGTCCTGAGAGAATTGGCTGATGTAGTCACCAAGCCACTCTCAACAATATCTGAAAAGTCACAGCAGTCAGGTAAAGCCCCTGGTGACAGGAGAAAAGGCAACGTCACATCCATGTCTAAGACAGGTAGAAAGGGTGATGCAGGGAACTACTGAACTGCCAGCCTCACCTCTGTGCTGGGCCAGATAATGGAGCAGATGCTTCTGGAGCTGTGCTAAGGCACATGGAAGACAGGGAGTTGCTACAGGAGAATCAGCATAACTTCACCGAGGGAAAGTCCTGGTTGACCAACCTATAGTGGCCTTTTATGATGGTGTCACTGCACCAGTGGAAAAGGAAAGAGCTGCTGACATCATCTGTCTGGACTTCAGTGAGACCTTTGACACGGTACCCCACAGCATCCTGCTCTCCAAATTAGGAAGACGTGGATTCGATGGGTAGACTGTTCAATGGGTGAGGAACTGGCTGTGAGATCGTTCCCAGAGAACAGCATTCAATGGCTCCATGCCCAGATAGAGATCAGTGATGAGTGGTGCCCCTCAGGGGTCAGTACTGGGACTGGTGCTCTTTGATGTCCTCATCAATGACATCAACAGTGGGATTTTGTGCATCCTCAGCAGTTTACGGATGACACCAAGCTGTGGGGTGCAGCTGACAAACCCAAGGGACAGGATGCTATACAGAGAGACCTAGACAGGCTGAACAGTTTGCCCAGGAAGACCTCATGAGGTTCAACAAAGCCAAATACAAGGTCTGCGCTGGTCATGACAACCCCCACTATCACTACTTTTGGGGGGCAAAAGGATTAAGCACAGCACTGGATCGGGTTGCCCAGAGATGTGGCAGATGCCCCATCACCAGAGACAGTCGAAGACAATATGCAAGGTCTGAAAGACAAGAGAATAAACGAATAAGAGGAGACAACATAAAAAATCTGAAATACACAATGCTTACTGCCAAGAGAAAGCCATATATTATTCTTGATGTCCCCTGAGGCAAGAGAATGCAAACCAAGCAAGGAATAATTAAGTTAGGATTCAGGAAAATCGTTTTATCAGTAGATGAATTTTACAGATTGGCACAAATTGCCTCAATGTTCTCTATCTGGAATGGACTTCAATGCATTGTGTGTTTTTTTTAAGTTACATGGCTATATGTCTGCCCAGAGCTGAACTGACCTACAGATGGAGCATACCTGTTACTCCAAAACAGAGCGGTGCTGTAAACAGGAATGCCTCAGAACATTTTTTCCCTAAAAATAAGTCAATCTTCCTCTGCAACACTCTCAGATATCCTATAACTCATCCTTCTATCGAATCTAAAGTGATAAGACTATTTTCTCTATTTTCAGGCTTGTGAACTTGATGGATGCAGTCTGAATAAACAGCTTCCTATCCCTCCTGTTTTGATTCATTTCTAACTTTATCCTTTCAAGCCAGAAAGTCCTGACTCCCAGACACTTTTCTGCTCCCATCACTTCTCAGGCACTTTGATGAGGTTTTCTCTTCACCTTTCCTTTTTTGTCCTTCATCATTCTTGTTACCGCTCCTCTTTCAGATTGATTTATAAACCTCCAAAAACCTGTGCAGCAAACCATATTGCTTCACAGAAACTGAAGAAATCCCTGACTATCACAACATCATTAACCAGGAACTAATTAAAGCCATAATCTTTATTTTTTCCCCATTTCTTTCTATGGTGGGAAGTAGCGTTTGTGTTCAGGTGGCATTTCTGGGTCACTTTTCCAGCAGTAGCTCAAGAATTGAAAACATCTGAAATGAAAATGTCTTATCAGTTACTCTGCTTGCAGGATGAGTAGTCTGAATCTTTCCTTGAGTCATTCCTTCCTTGAGTCATCACTGATCAATAATCCTCCAAACTGTCTTACAACCTACTCGAGACTTGCAACTATCTCCTCTGTAACAGGCAAGCATCCTGCTGCTGCAGCCTGTAAAGAAAAATACAGTGTCATAAGGAAGGGAGTGAACAGCTTAATGAAGCTTGGCTCAACTTTTGCAGCAATCCCAGGATGCTGACGCTCTTCTGAAAGCAGCAGACAGCACAGGGAGAGAAAGCTTTCTAATTAGTAGGAGATCATTTGAAAGTATGAGATATCACAGAATCACAAAATCTGTAAGGTTGGAAAAGGTTTGATCTGTAGGATCACCAAGTCCAACCTTCAAGCTATCCCCAGCCCACCCACTTACAGTATCATGGAATCACCAAGGTTGGAAAAGACCTCCAAGATCATCAAGACCAATTGCTGACCCGCACCACCATGGCCACCCCCATCCAAAGGTGCAGATACCCGTTTGGGTTTCATTCTGGACAGCTTTCTTCAGTGAGTGAATTTCTACAGAGCACAGGAAAGGAAACTTGTCCTTTGTGGCTTTCCTTGTCGGTGAGGAGTGAAAATCTCACAAAGATGATAACCCCAACTATTAGGGCATAGAAGCCCCGTTGGACATGGCTCACCACTTCTGAACACAGGATGCTAAGGCAACAATACAGCATGGCAGATCCATGCAGAAACAATCTGCAGAGTTCACTCAGAGTAAGAGGACTCAGAAGTACGGTGGGGCTTGAAAAGCAAAAAGTCTTTTGATACACTGAATCATAACACAGGTCTCCTGTTTCATACCAAACAGCGGCAAGACCAAAGCCAAAGCTTTTCAAGCTGAAGACTGCTACTTTTAAAAGGAAAATGTTCAACAAAAGAAAAAGTTTCAAAGCTATGCAAACTCTCTAATGTGGCTGAAAGTACAATTGCCATTATTTTCTGCTTTTCTGGTGCTCAGTATGAATGCTGAAACCTTGAAAGTTCTGAGATCACCCAAATGGCAAGCTCTATCCTCTCCCAGAAATGAAATCTGTAAGAAGATGGATATAAAATCTACTCTGAATCCTTCATATCATGTACAGGAACAGTGAAACCTCCCAGTACTGCGCTTCAGTTTTTCTATGGCAGGGCATTAAGCTTGAGAGATGCCACGCTGGATCTCTAAGCTGGACTGGGATTCACCATAAGGAACTACAGTATACTTTTTTGGGTGTAAGCAGAGGATTTAATTACACTTTTTAATCAAGTTCCAAAAAAAGGCAGTTTGGTGAGCAGTTACACTCCTCCATCAGCTGGATGTGGAAGAACCTGTCAAAACCCACGAAAGCTTCCCGTGGGCATCAGCTTCCCATTTCCCTGCTGTAAGGACTGCACTGTGTGATGGAAGACTGGAGCAGTATTTCAGCTCTTCACCACTGCAGTCTCACAGTGTTCTTTATAATCAAGGCAGAGAAGAAGAAACAACAAAAAAATTGTTCATGTGATTCCTGTGCGCAGAAGATCCAAGAATGAAGCTGCAGATTTAACCTGAAAAGATGTATGACAGCAAATCCGATTTACTTGCTCGTTACTTATTTAAAAACACATGTACGAAATATTACCTAATGCCTGAAAAAAGAAGAATTAGTTAAGGAGAATATTACAAATGTTATTTAGGTTGTAGGTACAGGAGCTTTAATGAGATGAGATGATGACAGGCTTTCAGTAGCGCTTAATGTTGAGAGAAGAAGGCAACCACACACTGTTTTCAAAAAAGAGCAGCGTGGGCAAGAACCTAATTATTGCTAACTCATCCACATAACTCAACCTAGTTAGCCACTCATCCATAATTGAGTATTTTCTCCTACTTATTAGGAGCTCGTGCTTTTCTCTGTAGCGAGGTCAGCAGAGCCCTGCCAGGAGCATGCTGGTGATCCCCCAAGAAGCATCGAGCCCAACTGTGTCCTCATACAGCGCCATCCAAACCCAAACTCTATGTTTAAGAATGAAGTCCCCATGCTCCCTGAGCTCCGGCAGCACGGGGCCGTGCCCACTGTCCTGGCAGCTGTTCCATGTCCACCATCCTCTGGGAAAAAGTCTTTCCCCAACTCCCTCTTGACCTTGGAAGATTTATGTGAAGTCTGTTGTTCTTCCTGTTGATTTCTTCACTTTATTCCCCTTGTCACCTTCTGCTTTTCTCCCTTTTGCTTTCCACCTTCTCAGTCTACCTTAACGCACAGTGCTCTGCTTGACTGAACTGGAAAGCCCAAGCGTAGCCTTGAGCAACTTGAACTCAATAAAAAGGAATCTGTCCTCTGAAGACTGGCTTGAAGAAAACAAGAGCAACCCAGTCAAAGCTTCTTCTGAGTGAACACAGACTGGACTGATGCCTACCGGGGTGTAATTGCACTGGTTGCATGCCATGAGCCTCTGCTGCACTAGTAAGTAAATTACATGTATCGGGTGACAGATGATGCATTCTCCTTTATTCTCCTCTCTGCCCATTCATTTTTCTTCTCTAAGAAGAAACAGACTTGGATTTCAAGAATTAACTCTGAGATCCGCCTCAAATTATTTTGGCCCAGTAAGACTTCAAGCAAAAATGGTTCCCCTAAAAAACATTAATGGAATGTATTTGTATTCATATTACAAGTGACATTTATTATAGTAACTAGCCTGCAGAAGGCAGCTTTAACATTTTATCTAATTTGAGAAAAAGCAGAAGCTGATGGACTGGGTCAGATCCATCACCACGTTGTCCACTGTACAATTTCCAGAAGCGATCACTGTCAGCCACTTCAAAGAGGAGAATAAGCAACCGTGCCTCAGGCTGTTGCAGCATGAACAGCCTCTGCATCTGGAGCCCTCTTAATTTCCAGCAGCCAATGCAGAAAAATAAAGAGTATTATGTCAGAGAAGTAGGGCTGGAGAGGACATCAAGGAACACTTTTGTTCACATCAGTGTATAGCCAGTATTTCCAGCAGAACCAAGACTGGTCCGTCCTTATGGCACTTTGGTCCCACTCCCTACTTTCATTAAGATTCACATTCACACAAAAATTCAGGCGAGGAAAGATCTCTGAAGGTTTCCAGTCCAATTCATGGCGTGTTGCTGTAGACCTCTTCCAGATGAGCTCTGAGAATCCCCAAGGATAAGATTCCACTTCTCCAATGCACAGCCTCTTCCAGGATCTGACCATCATCGTGGTGAAATGCTTTTCTTAAATACATCATTAGAATTCCCTTCTAGCAACTTCTGCCTCTTGCTTTTTGTCATGACCAATGATTATGTTTCTTTCACTGGATCTCTGAATGGGTGCTGGATTGGAGCTGTCCTCTGACTACTCTGGCACAGTTATCTGCTATAGAGAACATTTTACATTCAGCAGTAAAGACTGACACAAACAACTCTTTGCTTTGGTCTTACCATCCCTGACTACTCTGAAATATCTTGATCTTCAAAGAGCCCTGCTGACTGGCCAGTATCCAACCTTTGATGGTACTGAAAATCTTTCTGCTATGGATTTCAGATACCTTTGGATTGTGCTCTTCCAGTTCCACTCCTGTCTCTGAATTTCTGGTTAACATTTAACCAGCCACGTTTATGGGCTTCTTGTTCTCTTCATCTGGGCAAGTTCTCCATTTCCTGAATGCCAACCTTAGGACATCCCCTGAGCTTTCTTATTAACCCAGAAAAAGAACTGCTTATACGGTTCTGTTTTCTTTTTGCTGCTTCTCTGGGCTTCTACTAGAGCATTCTGAATGGCTTTCACACATCTGATAGGTTTCCTGTTTTTCAGACTGCTCATTTCAGGGTTTTATTCTGATTGTTTCATTTTTACATAGCTCTCCTTGTTGAAACTGAGCATCTGCATCCTGGATTTGCTTGGTGAGCTCCCTCCTGCTGCTAAACCCACACGTGTGATGGTTGCTCCTACTGACCAGCGGATGCTGCCAACACCACATGAGCTCATCCTGGTGCACCACTCGGCAACAAATCCCAGAGAGATTCTTTTTGTAGACTATAAAACAAGTTGTTCACGGAAATGCCATTTATTGCACCCAAATGAGCTTTTGCCTTTCCCTCTGAAAAGGCTCTGATTTAGCCTCTATGTGGGTAGCTGAAACCTCCCACTGTTACTTACCTGTCCTACATTATTATAATGTAATCAGGGGTCAGAACTTCTTTTTTATCACTAAGAATCTGCAGTTTTAGCTCACAAGGATTCTGCAGCTCTTCTCTTTTTCTGTGATATTTTTGAGCTGTCACACTGCTTCTTTCCCCTGCGTATAACATCAGTCCCTTGCCTGCGTGTCCTACTGGATCCTGCCTGTAAAGCTGGCAGCTGTAAAATCAATGAATGGCTGTCGGACTGGGGTTGTCGTTATTTCCCAGCCTCTTAGTTGCTCCCATCTCTTTTCTTTGATGTTATAAAAAGAATCTTAAAAGAAAAGAGTGCGGATGGAAAATCTCAGCCACTCCATGTCCCACACCATGAACCTTCCCCAGGATGCTCCTCCAGGGAGATCTCCCTTCGGCAAGAAATGATCAGAAGCTGCCATGATGCAGAGAGCATTTGAAAGAAGACCTAAAAATCTGATTTCTTCAAGTAATGCAAAGTACGTCCCTTCTGGCTGTTTAGTAGTTTTTGGCTGTGAACAAAACACTGGACTCAGTAAAGAACGTTAAGTTCCTTGCTACTAAGCTCTGGGCACAAAGGAAACACCATACAATTATTCTTACATTCTTTCACCTCCAGACTTCAGTCCCCAGCAGTGCTTTGTCATCACTCTACTAGATAACGTAGGGAATGACAGAATGGATTGATGGAATGATGGAATGAAGGAGCAGTTTTTCAAAGGACTTTGAAAAGTCTCCATAAGCTCTAAATGTTGTTTCCTTTACATCCAAAGAAGCCGCCTCATTTTTGATCTGTGAAGTACAAACAGGTTGAGGTGATCTACAAATTTTTAAATGGTTGTGATCTTTCAGACCCATATTGCCACACTTTTCATTAGTATGTTTTCATACATTTCATGTTTTCACAGTTTTCATTAGTATGACCAAAAAAAAAAAGCAAGGATTCTTCCACCATTGGCCAGAGCGAGAGCAATTCATCACAAATTTTCAGCAATATGTAATGAAATGATGAAGAAGATACTGACTTGGCATACTTATAAACATACAAATGCTTCCCTTCCTTTCTTTCAGGCTCTTTCTCTATGCATAAACATGACATTGGCTCCACAATTTCTTTTCCTTTGGTACCTGCACACTTCTTCCTTCTGCAGACAGGGAGGACTGCCTTGTGCACTCTCTCATCTCCCTTGACCTGTCTCGTGGTGGTCAACCAGGTCAACCATAGGTCCACCACTGATCAGCCATGGTCAACTGCTGGTCAACTCTTGGTCAACCAGGACCCCGAGGTCCTTTTCTGCAGAGCTCCTCTTCAGCAGCTCAGCCCCTAACCTGTACTGATACATGTGGTTATTCCTCCCCAGGTGCAGGACTTGACCCTTGCCCTTGTTGAACCTCATCAAGCTCCTCTCTGCCCAACTCTCAGCCTGTTTATCTCTCACTGGATGGCAGCACAGCCTTCTGGTGTGTCAGCCACTCCTCCCAGCTTTGAATCATTAGCAAACTCACTAAGGGTACGTTCCACCCCTTCATTCACTTTACTGACGAAGACTTTAAACAAGCTACTAATTAAGCTCTGACAAACATCTCCTGCACTGCACACCAAGCAAAGCAGAGAACACAGAGAGTGGGGCTGGAGTGTTTACTCACCGTGTTGCTGGCCTCAGCGGCCAGCCTGGCTGCGTAGCGGGCGATCAGGCGGTGCTCCTCGTCCAGCCGGCCTGGGCTGTCCAGCACACTGTGGGGACAAGGACAATTATCAGCCTGTGGGGACAGGCCATGGCTGAGATGTGCTTACAGCAAAGAGAGAAGCGATGTGAACAGCCTATAGCATGCTCTTTCTCATCCCTCTTGCAAGTGGGGGCTGCTCTGAGACTCTGCACCTCACAGCATTTCCTCCATGATTCATACACTCCGATTTTCAGTGATAAAAATAATTAATCTTTACTAATTAATAAAATAATCATAATCATAGAATCATGTAATTGTTAAAGTTGGAAAAGATCTCTGAGATCAAGTCCAACCATCAACGCATCACCACCATGCCCACTAAACCACGTCCCTAAAGAGAATCACAGAATCCTTAGGGTTGGAGAAGACCTCTAAGGTCATCATGTCCAGAGGGAAGCTCCTGGCCTCAGGACAGTCAGTCACCAAACAACAGGAACTGAATGCCAGCACTGTGATCAGGCTTACACCCAGCCATGCCAGATGCAGCCGTGCAAGATGTGGTCCTCACACCTTGGACAGCATAAGGATGCTCGCTGCCTTACTGCTGCACAAAGGTTTTCAGCACGGTCTCCCTTTAACAGGGAGCCAGCCAATTAGTTATGTAAACCAAAACACGGTGAGCTGAAAACCAGCATTAGCATGGAAATGAGCAACGTGTTTCGTGCTGCACAGCCTTCCCAAAGCTGCACCGGGTGTTTGATGTGGGATTCACCAACACCTCGTGGGCAGCCGTAAATAACGTGCAGCTCTACCTGGGTGCATTTGTAACCACACAGCAGAAAACAGAGCACACAGATACATATCTAATGCACAACAACGGCTCCTTTCAGTCCCCATTTACCGCTTTATGAGATAATTTACATTTGTTTTAAGCTCAATTTCACAGATTTATGTTGATGTTTAAAGAACCACATCTATATTGTATAAATCACATTTATATAGAAACACAGATTTATTTTTATAATGCCAAATTGAACAAATTGAACTCTTCTGAGACTCGGAGTCTCAGAATTAAGGGAAGGAAAACAGAGCCTCCACTCCAGGCTTGACGATCTCCTTATAGGTCCTCACACTCATTTTCTGACTTTTTTTTTTGACTAAAGAAGAACAATTCTTCCCATTCCACTTTCTGAATTTCATACCGGTTTTGGTCAGATTTCCTCTGTAATTTAGCCTGGTTGAGTCTTCCTGATTTACAGGAACGCAAACCATTCCATCCCCTCCATGTCTTCCATCATCTGCTAATTACTTTCCTAATTACTCTCTTAGTTCCTGGAACAATTATTTGTTCATACCTAAGTGAATTAGGAAATAACTACTGTCAATTTCTTACTTTCTTGGAGAAAAGTTGTAATTAAAAGATTTTAAAAAAGCGTTTTGCGTTTGCTTTTAGACCAGAAGCACTGGTGCAGATTGGGAACACTGATGCAGCAGAATTTTGGAAAGGTAATGCTGGAGATTTCTGTGTCCTAAAAGTGTTGTGCCAAACTGGCAGCTTTGTGCGAGGCGCAGAGCACTGACAGTCAAACTGTAAGATCTCCCACCAACCCTTTGGAGACTCAGCCTGTTGATGACACCTTGGCAAAGCAGATGGAGAGGGCCAGTAAAGGCATACTCATGCTCTGTTGCCAAAAACTAGCACAGAAATGAGCCCAGACAGCCAAATGACTGGCTAGGGCTGAGGGATGGGAAAAGGATGTAAGAGAAGATGACAGGGCACAGTGGCAGCTTGGTGATCTCAGGAATTCATCATGCAGAGACGTGGCAGGGGACAGCACACAAGGCTTGGTTTGTTCTTCCAGCACTGAGTTGAAGGTGCAAAGAGTCAACCAGGATGAACTAGGTCCCAGGTTGTACCAGAGGTTTTGGTTGGATCTGATGGAGAATTTCTTCATGCAGAGCGAGGTGAGTTGGAGCTGCCTAGGGCAGTGGTGGGGTCCCCCCCTTGGAGGAACCAAAGAGATGTGCGGATGTGGCATTAAGGGAAAAGGCTTCACAGAACCACAGGGTTGGAAGGGTCCCCGAGGATCATCAAGTTTCAAACCCCCTGCCACAGGCAGAGCCAACCTCCAGATCTGGTACTAGACCAGGCTGCCCAGAGCTCCATCCAACCTGGCCTTGAACACCTCCAGGGATGGGGCACCCACTGCCTCTCAGGCAGCTGTTCCAGCACCTCACCACTCTCTTGATAAAGTACTTCTCCCTGACATCCAATCTAAACCTTTCCTCTTTGAACTTAAAACCACTCCTCCTTGTCCTGTCACTGTCTACTCTTGCAAAAAATTGATCCCCCTTCCATTTTATAACGCCCTTTTAAATACTGGAAGGCTGCAATGAGGTCTCCTTGCAGCATTCTCTACTCCAGGCTGAACAAGCCCAGCTCCCTCAGCCTGTCCTCACAGGGGAGGTGCTCCAGTCCCCTGATCATCTTTGTGGCTCCTCTGCACCCTCTCCAACAGCTCCCTGTCTTTCTTGTACTGGGGGCTCCAGACCTGGACACAGTACTGCAGATGGGGCCTCACGAGGGCAGAGCAGATGGGGACAATCACCTCCCTGTCCCTGCTGGCCACCCCTCTTGTGATGGAGTCCAGGATTCCATTTGCTTTCCAAGCTCCAAGAGCACACTGCTGGCTCATGTTCAGCTTTTCATCCATCAGGACCCCCAGGTCCTCGTCTGCAGGGCTGCTCTCAAGGAGTTCTTTTCCCAGTCTGCATTCATATCTGGGATTACCCTGACCCAAATGGTGGTGGCACTCGGTGCATCAGGCTGATGGTTACACTTCGTGATCTTGAAGGTCTCTTCCAACCTCAGTGAACGGATGTATCTATTCTATGATTCCAATGGCGAGTAGAAGATGAAGAGTAAAGATCTTGGGGACAGAATATCCTTAAGGAGAGTGATCTTCTCCTTGCACTCAGCCTTAAAGTCAGAAGCGCTGTAGACAGTTGTAGTTTCAGGGTCAGGATTTTAAAGGAAATGACATCAAACCATCTGAGCAGCTAAGCAGCCATCTGTCCACCTAGGTCAACTGACCACAGATGAAACACACAGATCTGGTGGCCAACTACTCTGCAGGAAATGCAGAGTACAGGATGCATAAAAATAACGAAACAGTAGGCTAAAAAAAAAAGAAAAGACAAATATATTATTGTAAAATAAATGAAATCCACTGAGCTCTGTTTGCTCTAAGCCTTATGCAGCACGGGAAGATTTTTTGGTTGGAGGACGTTGGTGAATTGTTCTTAATAAGATGAAAGAAGGTGAGTGATGGTCACTGCAGCTCGTCAAGACTGCTATACTTGCACTTGAACTCTTTTGGCCAAAAAAGGGGAAATAAAAGATCAAAAGAAGTGACAATGGAGTACAGATTTCATCAGGAATGTGGGGAAGCATTCTCTCGTGCTGACTTGGAACCCTCCCTTGCACAAAGAGAGTGAGATTTAAATTATTTTCTTCGCATTTGGCTCCTTCCAGGAGTGCACTGTTACTCTGGTAACCATACCAAAGGCATTTTTTAATTTAAAGACCTAAATGAGTGAAAACCTCTACTGCAGTGGGTTGCAACACAGCAGCTATTAGCCACATCCAATATTTCACCATCGTATTCTGCAAGATGCAGTAACTTCTTTCTATCTTAAATCTGGTGATTGCAGTAATTCCTTTAGTTTATTGTCATGTGAACAATATTATGGGCTTTCAGTTCAGCAGACAACAGTGACTCACTGTCAAGAAACAAACTGACTTTCTCCGGAGATCTGGAAAGCCAGAACGCACTCCATAAATACGGCAGTGGAATACAAATTTCTACATGGCACAGTGGTGAAATAAGGCTCTAAAAATGTTATCCATAGGATAACAACATGGAAAAAGCCCCGAATCACTAAACCACAGCACAATAACTCTGTCTCTGCAAAGGCAAAATTTAGTTATGTCCAAAAGTGGAATATGGAAGCCCTCTGGCTATGTCCTGTGACGAAATGGGAGAACTTTGCTTTGGGGCTTTAGGATAAGACTTTTCTACACAAATATCAATGTGCACAAACACTAAAGTTGAAAAAAAAAATTAAATGAATTCCTCAAAGCGTTAGCTTTCCTTGGAAGGGCACAAAAAGAATCATAGAATCACAGAATGATTGGTTTGGAGAGGACCTCAAAGATCACCTTGTTTCAATCCCACTGCTATTGGCTGGGTGCCCCACCAGATTAGGCTGCCAGGATCCCATCTAGTCTGGCCTTGGATTCATGTGTACCCCTTTATGAGGCTGTCCAGGACCCTCTGGATGGCCTCCCTCCTTCTCTTGTGTCAGCAGCACCCCTTTGCCAGGTGTCATCTGCGAACTGCTGAGGCTGCACTCGATCCCATCGTCTATTATACTGATAAAGATGTTGAAGAGCACCGGTCCCAAGATGGATCCCTGGGAGACAGCACTCATCACAGCCTCCACCTGGACATAGAGCCATTGACAGCAACCCTCTCGCTGTGATCCAATCAATTCTTTATCCAAATAGTCCAGCCTTCAAATCTGCATCTCCCCTAGGTAGAGATAAGGGTGTGGTGCAGGACCATGTTAAATGCTGTGCACAAGTCTGGGTAGAGAACAACAATTACCCTTCCTTTGTTCACCGATGACGTCTCTCCATCACAGAAGGCTACCAGGTGGGTCAGGCATGAAGCCATGAAGCTGTTGTATTATGCAGCTTGCATTGATGAGACTGACAGAGGTTTAGCCCAGGTCAACAAAAGGTGCAACAGGGTGGGACATTATCTATGGCTGCACAAGGTATGCAGAAGGATAACCAACAGGGAGAAGGAAAAGCCATTTGAGTTACAGAACAAGGTGGGCACAAGGGCCATGAGCTAGCTGTGAAAAACCTGAAGGAGGAAATGAGAAGCTCTCCTAGCACTGACCGTGCCCCGCGCTGCAGCCGGCTCACATAAGTTGCAATCAGTGCATGCTCATCAGCTAACTGGCCAGCAGCGTCCGCCTTGCACTGCAACCTGGTGA